GTCATTTTGGACGCATTGCGTCATGCGATATCGAGGAGGTGTCGAGTTTAACAGAAACTCAGCGAGGAACGGGAGGCTTTGGATCCACTGGTAAATAATCGTGAGGACACGATTCTAAACGGGGGGGGTAATGTCATGAATATTACATAGTTCGGATGGTTCTCCCGGATTCCACAGTATTCTTTCACTCTCTATACACCTCTGTATATTTGTAGTATAATCTAGACATTGAGTCTGACATGTATATAAGGAGCTCGTACTGCTCAATAACAAGCCAGACTCGAGCTGGTCTTCACTCACTCACTTTCCTCTTGTCTGTCTCCTCAGCATTGTCGTAGCTCAGTCCAGTTGGATTGTTTGTTGCTGACACGCCGGCGCGCACAGGCATTCTGTGCTGTTTTCTCGAGCTCTCAGCGTCCATTTCGTGCTGATGTTCCTTGTCCTGGCTCACAATTCAAAGTCATGTTTGCCCCGGGGGACCCTGAGAGTCCCTACAGCTGGTCCCGCTTAAAGAGGCGGTACATCACAGCCATATCTGGGCTCTTGTCTATCAATGCGTAAGCTTTTGCATCACCATGGTCTTACCAGTTAGTCACGGTGCTGACGCCCGATCATAGGACATTCGCAAGTTCTATACCTGCTGGCATCGTCCTCCAGATGGAAGAGAAGTTTGGCTTCGGCAGCGAGGTCGCGACGCTCACGATTTCGATCTTCGTCGCCGGCTACTGTGTCTGTCCGCTTCTCTGGGGGCCACTGCCTGAGCGGTACGGCCGCAGGGGTCCGCTCATAATCTCTTTCGTCATCTACACCGCCTTCTCCATCGGCTGTGCCCTCTCGCAGAAGTTAGAACACGGCAAGCATCGTCGTCTTCCGCTTCCTCAGCCGAAACTTCGCCGCGTCTGGTCTCATCGTCAGCACCACCGTGATAGCTGACATCTTGGATGCGAGGGCTAGGGGGAAGGCCTTCTCTGTCATCACCTTGGCTCCGTCTGCTGGGCCGTCCCTGGCACCCATAGTCAGCGGCTTCATTGCAGTGTCCGGAACCTCTTAGAGATGGGTCTACTAGGTCACCACGATCTTTGCTAGTGCATGTCTCGCGACCATCGCATTGACCATACCCGAGACGTATACGTAAGCTCGTTTTTATCGGCGGGAGACTATTGAATCTGACAAGACCCTTGCAGCCCCTTGCAGCCCCGTCCTCCTGTCGCGGAGGGCAAAGAAGCAACGCCAACAAACGGGGGATGATCGCTACTGGACTCCCCTAGACAACAATAGCACATCCTAGAAGGAGTCCGTACAGAAGACCGTTGGAACGCCTTTTGCCCTGATGACCAGAGAGCCTATACTCGTCGCCCTGACGATCTACATGAGCGCATGTGCAACTCTTTCATAAGCCTGTCAAGGCCATCACTGACGTGTCCGCTTGTATTTCATCTACACAGTTGTCTATCTCCTCTTCGAGGCCTACCCAATCGTCTTTGCCATCGGACACCACATGAACGCAGGGATCTTGGGACTCATGTTCCTCCCCATCTTCCTCGGGGGCACGTTCGTCGTCCTCAGCTACCTGATGTTGTGGAAACCACGCTACGAGCGACTCGCAGTACAGCACGCCCCGAGCCCCGTCCGGCCCGAGTTCCACCTCGAGCAGGCGATATGTGTCGCGCCGCTCTTCGCGACCGCCTTCTTCTGGTTCGGCTGGACGTCGTACCCGCACATGTCCTTCTGGGCGCCGATGACGGCCGGCGGGCTGCTCGGCTTCAGCATTGTCTGAATCTTCCTCGCGCTCTTCAACTACATCATCGACAGTTATCTCTCCTTCGCCGCGTCCGCGCTCGCCGCCAACACCGTCGTCCGCTCCCTCTTCGGCGCGGGCTTCCCGCTCTTCGCGACCCAGATGTACGACGCGCTCGACCCGCGCTGGGCGTCGACCCTCCTCGGCTTCGTCGCCCTCGCCCTGATGCCCATCCCGTTTGTGCTATTCCGCTTCGGCCCCGCGCTGGGCGAGCGGTCGCGGTATGCGCCGAAACAACCCTCAATGGCTGCAAAGCCCGCGACGGGACCTCGGGCTGTTTAACGCATGATTACTGTACTATTACGCAGATGCCCTCAAAGTAAGAAACGATTTTCTTATCCCTGTTTTACTCGCTCCAGGGGCCCCCCTCTCCCGTCCCTCGCCTTATATACCTTTCGACGGCCCCTATTTCGTCATTCTCCTTGATTGGGCCCAATCGCTGCTTCCGCTCTCCTTTGCTTACGCCGCGCGCAGCGCAGCTATGCTTCAGCCCTATCTATTCATCGCAGCGAGTGAAATCGAAAATTTTGAGCTTAAATTTCCCGCCCGCAGAACCACATCCACGAGGACAGCAGTCGCGGAGCGCAGCGAAGCGGCCTCTTGTACATATAAAAAATCCCCTCGCATCGGATTTTAAGGATACCTCTCCTTCGGTGTAGCGCATACCCCTGACATTGACAGACTGTTACTATACCTATACCAACTTCGGCATAATCTGTAGAAACCACTGAACATATACTATGTACTAGTTATCTGTACTACTGTACTGAGCACCAAAGTCAAGACGAGAGTGCTCCTTCTCATTTTATTCGGCCGCACCCACCAACTGCGTATCTGTGGCGCGGCGTACATGGCTGAGGTCGCGAGGTTGGAAGCCACGGGTTTCGCTGATGCCCCGCAGGTAGCATTACTACCTGTGATCTAGCTTCGTGGCTTGTCTAACATTTGGTGTGCTGACAGAAAGTCTGCCTAAGGATGAGCTGTGAAAGACATACCATCGATGGTAGTCGGAAGGTTCACCTCAGATGGATGGCCCTTAAGTAGTGCCACCAAGTCGCCCATGAAAGATCATATAGAAGATGCCAAGTCTTAGGATGGTACTGAACCGCTCGTGAAAATTTGGGTATGATGACGTTCTTGTAAACAGTGAGCTCTAGAGGCCATGTAATCCGTCTAGTATGCACTTTGTACGTCAGCTTATCTTATGCGGGGTCACGGTGTCTCCGTCAAGAAAAAAAAACATAGGTCCTAAACATACTAGTGTCGTGCCCTGGTGAACGGCGTCAGCGAAGCGGTAAGAGACGTATGTGGGCGAAGTGTGGTAGCGACCGTGTATCGACACTGCAATAACAGTCGGAGTAGGTACGAAGACTGACCATCCATGAAGTTCCATCGAATCGTCTCAGCTGCGTAACGCGCACAGATCGGTTGACAACCTGAAGGCTTGATCTACATTGTTGTTGTATGTATACAAGATGTTCGATGACGATATGCTCGACGGCAACAGCATTAATGTTATGCCCAAAGAAGGATAGTATGAATACACAAGCGATATGGAAGGGTATCTCATGCCCAGCTGTCAATGAGCGAGTCCCGCATCTCGCCAATAACCGCAGTTGAGCTCTGGCCTTGCAGCTCTGCAGATCGTCACGTCAGGGAAAGTGAGAGAAAAGGAGGAAAGTGGGGACGCACTGAACGCAGCCTCAATGACGCTGATCTCAGTCGCGGTGGTATCAAGCCCAGTGAACGCACACCAATCATTGACAACGAGACCAGCTCCAATGACGTCCGATCCACGATTCACAGTACCGGCCTGCCCCCAGTGTATGTGATCAGTTTTCCATGCCGGCACTCATTATAACAGTAGACATACCACCAATGGTATCTGAAGCAAACTCGACAACTCGTCCTGGTCTTGCACACTCGTCTTGGGGTGCACAAGACCGCCCTGGTTTGTGATGGCGCAATAGCTTCCCACCAGGACGTTATCAGCGATTGTTTGCCGGAATACCTCGACTTTGAGGATGTCAGCTACAATTTCCTCGGTCTCGCGGTCGACGTCAGGATGCACAAGCGCGACGTAATCGTTGCATGCAATAACGTTTCCGAGCGCGGAAAGACGTTCTTCTACACGCTGAATCGCGACAGAATCCGGGAGGGAATTCCGGAGGTGCTGGAGTTCCTGATCGGTTGCCGTTGAGGGGACGAGCAGGCCGTGTCGGTTACCTACCTCACAGTTGGAAATACAGCTGTAAAAGACCAAGAAGGGTACGTACCTGCGGTCAGGCGACCGATAATTCGCGTGCCTCCAATGCTCGTGTGCACGATCGGGATGACATCTCCCAGCTCACTCTCGAAGGCAGAGTAGAAGTTTGTACTGCCTTGGATGGCAGTAAGGCAATAGCTGTTCGTCAGCTTCGAAAAGACACCAATATCGCTGCTGTTCTCAAACTGGATGCCTGCAAGATTGCTCGTCAGGAACGCCATATGAGATGCCGCAAATTTCGTGCATACGGGTAGCCATTTCGAAGGGGGATCCTCTGTATGTGTTGACTAAGGTGCTTTTGGTCGAAGAAAAGAGGTTTTCTGAAGTTGAGAGGGCAGTAGGGGAGGTGGCGGATGCGTCAGTGGTCTGACAGAGGAAAGTTAAATAACTTCACAAAAATCTGGGAACGCTCCGTCACTGTCACACCGGTACCGACGCGTCGGTCACCCTAGTCACGACACGTCACTCCGCTGCCGAAAAGCGCCGCTTGCGCTTTGTGGCGTTCCGACGCTTCGGGTTGTTCAATTTCAACACAAACTCCTCCGGAATCCATCCAGAACAAGGCGAGCTCCATTTTTGTTTTACTTTCGATTTTTCTGGATTTTTTTCTTATTGACTCATTCTACAGACACCTTACTTAGAGCGCCCGAGTCATTTAGAACTTCCACGCCTCATTAAATCCCGACTATGCTGCGGTGCCGGGCGGTATCAAGGCATCATTCGTTCCTTGCACCGCTGTATAAGAAACGTGTAGCGGCAAGAGTCATAAGTTCGGCTCTCTTGTACAGCACAAACGCCGCAAAGCCGTCTGCACCAGTCACAAAGGTTGAGAAGATCATCCACGATACCATCAAGGTATGTGCTTGCGGTCTGTGACGCATCGACGGGGATAACAGAGTCATGGAAGGCCACAGGTCCCTTGTCATTTGCAAAATACATGCAAATGTGTCTGTCGCATCCGACAGAAGGGTACTACATGAACCCCTCGCATAGCGTCTTCGGTTCTCGAGGTGACTTCACTACCAGCCCCGAGATCAGCCAGGTCTTCGGTGAAGTAAGTGGTTTTTTTGGATTAATATGTCAGTTAACAGCAGATTTGAGGTGATTTATATAGCTTGTTGCGATATGGTCGTTGTCCCAATGGATGCACTTCGGCCAGCGAAAACCTATCCGCCTGGTAGAACTGGGTCCTGGGCGTGGCACGCTCATGGCTGACATCCTAAGAGTAAGCGTTAGCTATACGTGCCATTTCTTAGTTTTCTGCATAACTTATCCCATAAAAGACGCTCTCTCAATTCGCCGCCGCCTGTTCCGCGGTTCAAGGGGTTCATCTCGTCGAGACTAGTGAAGCTATGAGGACTCTTCAGAAAAAGACACTCGAACTGGTGGATGCTCCGAGGAAGTGGCACACGCAATGGTACGACTCGTTAAATGATTTTTCGGTCGACAAGGACACGTTCACGATCCTCATTGCACACGAGTTCTTCGATGCTTTACCGTTCCATCTAATTCAGGTATTCTGCCTCTCCCATAGTACTCAGGTGTAAACTGACCGAACCTTTAAGAGATGTGACGACGGCTGGCGCGAAGTCCTCGTCTCTTCCGGGCCTGACTCGACTGCAAAAACCATCCTCCGCGCAGACAGTTTCTCGCCCTTGTCAGAGTCGCCAAAAATCCTCGAGGCCACTGGCCCACGCTTCCACCGCGCCATAGAACCAGCACCGTCGGCGTTCTCCACCCTCCTTGGAATGTCGTCAAAACGCTTTGAGAAGCTCCCCGTCGGGACACAGGTAGAAGTTTCTCCGTCTGCGTTCAAGGTCGCACGGAGGATCGGGGAGCTTCTGTCGAGCGATCTGGAGAAGTCGCGAGATGTGTCCGGGTGTGCGCTCGTCGTGGACTATGGCGGCGATAAGAGCTTCTCGAACTCTTTCCGGGTGCGTCGACCATTCAGGGCTCGAGAGAGGTTGACCAGTTGAGAGCTACATTTAGGCCTTCAAAGACCACAAGATTGTCGACGTCTTCGACCGCCCGGGCGAATGCGACCTCACAACCAACGTTGATTTCGCCTACCTCAAAGAAGCGATCTCAGGTCTCGGTACGCTAATTATTCTTCCCCCATCTTCCTGGTTCTCTAACCACCTTGAGCAGCAACGACCCACGGCCCAATCCCGCAGGCCACCTTCCTCGAGCGTATGGGTCTCTCATTGCGCATCGAGACCCTCAAGAAGGCAGCCAAGGACGAGCAGCATCGAGCGGACATCGAGCGTGCCGCGAAGCGGCTCGTCGACCGCACGGGCATGGGCAACCAGTACCAGGTCTTGGGAATAACTGGTACTAGACAGTTCGAGGAAGAGCTGACTGCGGAGCAGACGTGGCCGTTCGTGCAGGAGTAGGCCAAAGTCTGGTGTTGAGGATACCGGCATGCTACAGAATATACTCGTGATTATGTTGGATACATACGATAATGAGGGGATGATGTGTGCACATGCGTGAAATGCGGTGAATGCTACAAGACCATGCGAGAGGCCACCTGTTCTTCATTCCAGAAGCGGCGCCTCTTCCCCTTTCCACCCCACAACCCACTGCATCAGCATCTCCGCCATCTTCCTACCCTCCTGCGTACGCTTCCCCGTCTCGCCCTCCTTTCTCTTGCTCTCTTTCTTCTCTTTGCCTTTGAAGCACGCCTCCTCGACCGCACACGCCCACTCGCCCGACTCGTACGCAGTGCGCGAGAGCTCGACGCCGACGCCATCACGCTCGAGGAGCATGCGCAGTCCGTGCTCTTCGATGAACAACGGGCGCGGGACGTATACAAAAGGCGTGCAAGAGTCGACACATTCCGAGACGGTACCGTAACCCTACAAAACACAACTGAATCAATAGCTGATACGCGGCAGGAAAAGGCCAGGCTCACCAGCTTGCCAAGCAGAACGTCTGCGACAGCCGTCAAATCGGGCATGTACACGTCCTTCGGCGCCACGAAGAAGTTATCCGGCAACGCCTCGCCGTCCTCCGCCCAGTCCTTCGGAACACCGCATACGATCGCGATCCAGCTCTCGTCCGGTAGGAGGGTACCAAACACGTCATATTTGTACTCTTCCTCGGGCGTCGCAGCTTGCCCGAAGGGATTCTCAGTCACCTCGTCAATAGTCGGCGCCGGCGGGAACACGGACGGAAAGGTGGGCACGGTGGCCGCGACAGGCGAGGTCGGGACGGACGCCGCGGGCGCGCCGGGTATCATGAGCAGCGATCCACTGCGCTTGCGCTCGAGGCGTACTCTTAGCGATCCAGAGCGGCGTGGTGCATGTCTATTGGTTTCCAGCGCATTTACGAGGGTTTCGACGCCGGCGGCGGCGCTCACAGGTTCCGGTGGCATGCCCTTCTTGATGTCAGCGACGTCCATAACAGGGCTATAAGAAGAATGGGTATGAAGCGCGACGTTTATCTGTTTGGACGGCCCGAGGATGGACGGGTCAGGCGTGTGCAAGCGCGAAGACGAGCGGCTGTGTGTCCGGCTGTGTGACGGTTTGTGGAAGACCTGCCCGCCGAAGGAGACAATAAGAATCTTTATGCTTGGGTCATCCTGGAGGTGACGTGGGACGCCGACGGAGTCCAACAAGTGCTGGCGGCCCCCGCTG